TTTACAGGATTACGCGACAGAACTGGCATGGGAAGGGTATTTAGGTGAGCTGTCAGTTGTGTACTATTGCGTAGAGTTGGTTACAGTAAGCCAAAAAAAATCGAATATTGCCTTCCACTTTGCCATGGGCCACGACTAGTTGTTTGAATTGTCAACATGTGTGCTCCACCGTGAATGGTGCCGCCTCTTCAAAGTTTCTTAAACACGGCCGCCTCTGGGCGTGGCGCACAGTGGATAAAGCCTTCGAGCCGTCACTATGCCCTAGACCGTTTTCGACATCACAGCGCCACGTACCTCGAACTCGCAGGTTCGCCCTCGTCGAGGGATATCTTTTGTCGTGAACTGGGCCTTTAAGGGACTTGGAAAACGGAGCTCAAACAGGCTTTGTCCAAAACGATTTTTGGCCACTCCCCTGCTTTGTAGATACCGAAATACTTGGCAAGAGGGAATAAGTGCTGATATTGAAAATGTGCAGAACTGGAGCTATAGACACCAAGCCATTGTGAAAACAGAAGCTCGAGCGAAAGAATTTTTTTCTTTTCAAATGCATTTACCTTTTCTTTTCAGGAACATCTTTTACAAGCCGTATTTCATGTTATACGGTGAAGTGTATGCCGGAGAGATCGATACGTGTGGAGACGAAGGCAAGCCTTTTCCTTCTTGAGGACCCTTCCTCAAATCAATATATCGATTTTGTACCCAATCTATACTTTTAATACTCACATTTGTTCTTGCCATTTTAGCGTGGAAAGCATTCAGGAAGGGTGAAACACCATTAGGTAATGTGCTCATTGTGTCCTTGTGGTTTCCTCTGTGACGTTTGTTGCATGGGAATCGTGATTGTCCTGACCAGAAAACAGGGATTACTGTATCCATTGTTCAACGAGTTATTTAAGGGACAAATTGCGTTCCGGGAGGATGGATTCCGCCTGTGTTGATGACCATCTTCCTCTTAGTGGCGAATATTCTTCTGATCAACATGCTCATCGCTATTTTCAAGTAAGTCCCGACTTGAGTTCGATTTCGGCTAGTCAGCCAGCCAGCCAATTTGATCGAATGCGGCTTGTCGGCTCGTGTAACTGTCATTGGCGGTTAGCTAGCCGGACAGGATTACTGTAGCTTACTGTAGAACAGTCGTTCATTGCTCGTTACGGTAGTGTTTTTATTCCAGCAATATTTTCAACGACACTAATATCCGCTCACATGAAGTCTGGTTATTCCAGCGTTATGGACAGGTACGCAATTACGGATAGAACATAGCGACTTCCTCATCCCCTGAGCACAAGAACGAAAATAAAAAAAAATAAAATAAAAATTTAAAAAAATAAGAAAATAGTAAAAAATTAAGATTAATGGAGAAAGTAAAAAATTAAAAATCCAAATTAATAAACATTCAGCCCAATCAGAACCCTACCGTAATCTGATTATTCCTTTACTTCACTTCCAGTCGTAAAATGCCAACAAATAGCACGTATCACGCGCTTAACATTAGTGTAGAACAGTAGCGGGATTACGGTAGGAATTTGGATCCGTGCTGAATTTTCGCTTTCCTCGGTACTATTCCCAACTGAATGAGAGCTAGTTATTCATGGCTTTTGCTTATTAAGGCGCTCTAAAAATCTGCCGAGAATCTAACATTAGCTCAACATTAGCTTCTGTAATTTCTGGAATCTTTCATAGAACTTTATATGAGGTCACTACCCTCTTGTACGCCTATGAAATATTTGGCTTCCTCCTCCGTGCTAATTCAACCCTGCAAGCTAAAACTGCCCCCTCCCCCATACTAGACACGTACATTTTCACGAGTTCGAATCGAACATTGCGTATCCGAAGTCTAACAAAAGCTCTGCCCTTAAATTGGTCCAGACACCCTTTCTGAGCGGTCTGAGCCCGCCTGGTGCCAACACTTTGAACCCTGAAAAAGGGTGTTGAAGATGAGCCTTGATTTGGTTAATCGACTGTGATACTATAGAATCTCTGGATGTGCTAGGTGTATACAAGTGGCTTGTATATTTATTATTTCCATGAAAAATTCCAGGATATCCAAAAATAGTGAACTGTTACTAACGATACCACTAGTATTAGTATAGTGTGGTAGTTATACCCATTTCCGTGGTAGTAATGGTATACTCGCTGTGTTTGGGGTTTTTTTTGTATATGGTATAAAGATGTAATGTTCAGGTAATGGAATATAATGACACACCACTTCTTCCACCTCCATTCACTGTATTGGCTTATATGGCACGACTTCTTTGCTTCTTCTCAAAGGTATTCTGAAAAGATTTCTGTGTGAAAACAAATGATGAAAAGGGCGAATTTGGTGTGGTGGCAAGTGGCGCACTATCATGCATGCATTGTCCAGGGATCGAATACCGGTTCGATACTGGCCCGAGCCAGTAAAGCCTTACTTCCTTCCGGGGTCGGTCCATAGTCATCTAGGAGGATGATAACACCGGCATGTACATATATCGGTTGGCCACCACAAATCATTGTAAATTCCACATTGATCATTCAATACATCACCACGTATGATTCTGAACAGAAGTCGAATACGCCCGAGTATCTCAGAAGGGGATTGGTTCACGACGAAGCTACTTTTATTCTTTTAGCGATAGAGTTCATTAACACTTACCGGACAGTTTTACTTTCAAGCTCACTCGAAAGTGCTCTATGTCTAAGCAAAAAAAGAACGTCGAAACTTATTGTTAGTCAGAGATGAACGATCAGCTGCAGGCAATATGCTCTGTGTGCATAGGCATCACTGCAGAAAATACTGAAAAAAATCAATAAATCAAAGTCACTGAATAAATTGCAGATGATCATTCACAACACCTTTGTTTACCTCTCTCTGCTGCCAGAAAAAAAAACGATTTTTCGTGATTAATGTTGGAATTTCTCAATAGGTTCCTTTCCTTCTAGCAGTGGGCAGATGTAACCAGAGTGCTGAATACTCTTCTATAGTCATCTAGTAACTTTACTTCGTAACTAATCATAACTATTTTTTCAGAAAAAAACGTTGAAAACTGGTAAAGAACGGGATGACGTCATCGCGAAATGCTCAACAAGTTGGTTTTCTTTTCGTTCCACACCGCTTTCGATCTGACAAAGCTTGTGGTACGCCTGTAGCAGATCACTATGCTTGCCCCCCTACTTCAGGCGTTTAAAAGTTCTCATTTTTGAAGAGAACTGTGATCAATAACTGCAGTAAAGTAGTCCTTTGAGCACGTCATAAGCTTTGCCTGTGGATTGAAAGCAACGCAGCTTTTCTTTTCTTTCTTTTTTTTCCAAAGACAACGAAACAACTCAATTCTGGAACTTGGTAGAGTCCTTAGAGGAATAGCTAACAGAAGATTGATGCACACATTACAGGGCTGTATCTTAGCGCAGAAGAACTACGTGAATTGCATGATTTCGAAGAGGATTGTATGGATGAGCTGACGAGGAAACGGATACGAAAGCAGAAAGGAGGCGCCGAAGATAGCTGGCTGAACACTTTGGAAATGTACGTTTATTCATCTTCAACTCGATCTATCTCGAGTTTCTTACTATCAAACTGAAATAGTACACTTCAACCTGCTTCTGAAAACACTCAGGTACTAAAATATTACTAAATAGCTCAATTCGTAGGTATAGACCAAATACATAATTGAGCGCGATTTCGCTCTTAAATAAAAGCCGCATGCACGGCTTATCGCGAAAAAACCTCAAAACAAGTTGAATCTTCAATCCCTTCGGGGTCTGTCAATTGGCGCTAAACTTTTCTGTAAACATGAATCCTTTTCTAGTCACCCCAATCGCGCAAACCCGATGCGGTTCTCGTATCCGTTACAACTGAATTGATAGTCAGGAGCTCTGATGACTGAGGGCGGGGGAGGGGTTGGGGGGGATGGGAGGGGGAACGGGTACAGAACTAGTATCTAGATACGGCCAAAATAGATAGCTATAGTCACCACGATTCTCAACAGAAATTCAAATGCTTGGGCATATAAAAAATGGGGATCTTTCAGTTCCAGAAGCTTTGTTCCTGTCCTGCTAGGTTTCTCCAGTTATTGACGTCTGTTACAGAACGGAACTTACCGCACAACGGGTCAACGAATTACTGCAAGAGAATTGCTCACTTAAAAGTCGATTAGTTGATGTGGAGGCGCGTCTGGATCTTATTATTAGGACTCAGACCGAATTCATTGATGCACTTACAAGGCGGCAAAAGGTAGGTGGTTTCAATTATTCCAGCCTTTTCGTTTCTCGGTTAGCAGCAGAAACAGCTGTTCCACAGCTGCTCGTCAAAAAACATGCCGAAACTTGAGACATATGGACTGAGTTTGATAAATGTTTTCGAAGAACACGGTTAAAAACATTTTTTCATATTCTCGCTAATAAAATGAGATGAAGTATGTCACTGGCAATGTTTGTCCAATGAATTGATCAATCGATACTAAATTGTTCATTTTCGTCTCATTCAAAAATTGCGCTTCCTTACAAAGAAAAAGGAATTTTAGCCTTGCGGAGCAAAAGAGGTGTCATTGTGTAGATGAATGCTGCTGCGGTCCTTCCCCGTAGTCCTACGGGAAAGGTCTTCGTGTACCGTAAAGACGGGAATTTGCGCTTTATACTTTTTTGGCATCACCTATTCGATTTCCACAGACAAAAAATTTCAGCGATCGAAATCTGGATCGTCTCGCGCATCCACTCAATCGCTACCAGAAGCTGATGTTGGGAAGTACGTCTTGTATAATACTGTATACCTCTACTATCGAGTCGATTTTTTGGCGTGGTTATCGATTTGTCGCGTTTAGGCCACGTCGGTTAACCATTGCCGTACCAGACATATCCTCGGTGGTTATGGATCAAGCACTACTGAGTCCAGTGCCTGATCGTAGTAAAGCAGAATCACCACTTCTCAATCATCTCCGAATGGACCATACCCTTAGAAAATATGACGAGGTGAGCTTATCAGTTGTCAGTCATACGCATTAAGCAAAAATGAGAACGAAAGGGGTCTACTGTCGGAATTCCATTTTTGATATACGGTAATGTTCGATTTCACTTGATGGAACTTCTCATTGTCAGTCGATCAATTCTGGAATCAAACTTCCTGGTCTATCAAGGGCCAACTAGAATTCCGCGTACCTGTTTAGTGGTGGTTGCTGCTAGGGTCAAACATCCATGTTCAAACCTTGGAGGTAGAAAAACGTAGAAAATCGACCCCTTCGAGCTTTCAAGGTGTGATAAAGTGATCCCAAGCTCTCAAAGACCACTTCTGATGATCACTGTCTTTTCGTTCTTTCCTCCTTTATATGATCATTTCCTCCTTTATAAGCTCGAAGGCTTCAGGGAGTAGTGGGTCGTTTCGATGAGGGATGACTTTAGTGATCAGGGCTTCAGATCTCAACCTTACCTTTTGAAATTCTCACATCTAGCCCTCAGAACGAATAATTGTATGAAGTTTATTTGCAAATGGTCTGAAAGCCAAATTTTCTGGGACTAGAAGTTGATAATCGAATGCTAAATCTCACAACTTCATCGTCATTTCAGCTAGCAGAGAATTATTTATTTCTCTGCAATTCAGGCGTATTGAGGCCATATAGAAGCAGTGGTGTAAAAATAGTATGCGAAGGTTCTAACATGATGTTGGCTTTCGAGTCGTTTTATTGCAATCAACGCAAAACATAAGCCCGATGCGGGGCTCGAACCCGCGACAGCCAGATTAAGAGTCTGGTGCTCTACCGACTGAGCTAACCGGGCCGCTGATTGTTTGCGTCTTCCAGTTGTTCACCAGTTGCACTTTTTTCGGTGCACCGCTTAGCAATGTTCGCTTTTCGACCTTCTACCTATTCTCCTCTCCCCTGCAGATCATAAGTTTCACAAGCCTGTTTATATTCGATTCAAATGAGCTCCCAAGATTTATAACAAAACAATTTTATTAACGACTGATGTTTCGGCAAAAACCCTTACTTGAGAGCCTGCAAAATTGAAAGCATACCTGCGATTCACACAGTTGCTTTTTCAAACTGCAAAAGAAAACTCTAGAGGCCAATCCACATTCAGTGAAGAAAAAGGCTGATCTAAGCACAGATGGCATGTCTTTTCACCATCGATCTTTAAAATGTTGACGACCTTATCAGTCAGTGTTGACATAGTGTAAGACGGCTGCATGATGAAGTACTCACATACTTCCTTTGTTCCTTAATCATATTACTTTTAATCCACTAAGTCCAGTTTCCATCGATCATCCTTTTATATACGATTAAGCAAATATTATGTACTCCCTATCGACTCCCACTTCATTTCTCAACATTTTTGGTAATCAACCCAAGGTTCTGAGTGAACTCAGGCATTATAAACACTTTGGAAACATTTCCAGCCATGAAACTCCTCAATCACAAAGATCACTTTTGTTTTTGGTTTTCATTGTCATACTTCTGGCCGCTGTCGTACCATGTGATGTTCATGTGATGGTCAAGCAATTTTTGCGAAGCCCTTTATCTTTGGCTTGCGGGTGAGGATCGAAAACAGGCTTTCTGTCTCAGGTGACAGGCTGTTCGTAGTGGCTGGCACTCTAATATCACGGATTTGAGAGTCAGTAGTTAATTCCTTGAAAGGTTGATCTGATTATCTTCTTTTTTCACTGTAAGGGGACTAGACCTTGAATAAAGCAGACTAAATGATGATGAAATTGTCTGACGAATCCTTCACTTGTCTTCCCTAGACAAGGGTTCAGCCGCTAGTTGGCAACGACAATAAGCTCCCACCAAGCTGGCAACTTGCGTCGTGTTTGATTGAAAGCCTTTGGATGACTCTTTGACTCCGGTTCTCTGAAGCACATCGTGCCATATAGGGCAGATCCCAAAAAGCTCTTTTGTTCTGCCAATGAGCCTTCAATGAACGATTCCTTCGATAGGTCATACATATTAGTCTGTGTGACAACCATCTCTAATAGCTTTGAAAAGCAGTTGTTAAAAGTCGAGAGGGCATGGACCTGGACTCGATTTGATGGACTCCTGCCGGCTCGTCGAAAACTCATCTGTTGACCAGTGGAATGTTATCCGACCAGGCATAGTTCTCTTGCTCGTCGCTAGCGTCACTGTCATCTGATTCAGAGTATTTTTGATTACTCCCAGCTAAAGAAGCAATTGTCGTCTTTCTGAGACTCGCACATATATTTAGCTCTTAAGTCAATACATCTATCAGTGTCATCAACAATAGAACTCATGTTGATGATAAGTCAAGACCCAGAGCAACATAACTACAGCATCTACAATCAATTCGAAATCGGCTCTTCGATTGGCT